TTACAAAAATTAAGATGGCTTGAATGAATTAAATCTGATTCAAGTGTACCGAATCTTCTCGATGTATACATGGCAACTCCATTACTATGTTTAAAACTTAAAAATTTTTTAGCAGCTTTTATTGTTAAAATTAAAATTCGCCATGAACGCATAGCATATGAACAATCTTCTTGTCGTCGTCTGTATGCTTTTCTTCGTGTTTTAACTTTTGACGAAACTGATTTTTTACGAACCATATTCGATGCAATGGAATTTGTTAGAATAACTACAATTTAAAAAGTTCAAGTTTCTCGTTGAGATTAAGCACAATATAATCTAAGTATGGCTTAAACTCCTTAGTGAGAAACACGTATATCCCTTAACTTGGCGAGATATACAATGAAAAAAGTTTCTTTCAAACTAAATCTTCTGCAATACTTAGTGAAGATATAGATGATACTAAGTAAGAAACTTTAGAAAGTCTAAAAAACTAGGTGACTTTCTTTTATTCAATCTTTGAGTTTTTTTTTGTTAATTGATAATTATGATGAATCTAATCTAAAATAAACAAAAAAAATACAATATCAATAAACCAAAGTAAGGTGAACATATTCATATTACTATTACAAATATTCAAGAACAAAATATTTTATTCGATTAACTTTGTAATTCAACAAACAAATGGCAAAATAAGCAAGTTAATATAAGGTTAAACAAGTGTATGTAACAAAACAGATGTAGAAGAAAATACAAAACAATTATATTATCTGGTAAAATTTGCCATCTAAAATTATTTTCCCAAAATCAATTAGATAATAAGAAATGAAGTACGTTCATATAACAAGTAAAAACGTCAAAAAAATTGGAATCGAATTTCTTTTTCTTTTCGATTGTACAAACCAAAATATACATTAACAAAGCTGCTATTAATAAAACCGTATCAGATGAAACATGTTTTACATGAAAAGGATAATTTCTCAACAGATTTAAAATCATATTATATATATAAATATTTTTTACAACACACAAAAATCACAAAAAGAATGGGATAACTTTTATCCAAATATATTTATACAATAAAAAAAAAAAATATCCGAACAAAAAAAAACAACAAACATACTCTTCTATCTAACAACTTTTACAATTAAAAACATAATTGTAAGGTGAAACTAACTTATATAAAGAAGAACGAAAACCGATGATTCCAAAAACGAATAAAAACAATCGTTTCACTGAAAATAATTTTACAACATAAAATAAATGATTACCTAAGAAATCTTGAAACAACTTTTATTTCAAAAAATTTACAATTAAAAATATAATATCAGGTGAAATTAATCTATATAAAACGGAATGAAAACCGATCATTCTAAAATCAAACAAACAAAATCTTTTATCTAAAAAGAAGTTCTCAATCAAAAATAAATGACTAGAGGAAAATCTTGAAACAACCTTTAATTTAAAATAATTTAAAATTAAAAATATAATTTGAGTTGAAACTAATTCATATAAAAAGGAATAGAAACGGATGAGTCTAAAAACAAAGAAACAAATTTCCATCTAAACATAATTTTACAATATAAAATAAGTGACTACCAAAACATATTTAAACAACTTTTATTTAAAAAATTTTACAATTCAAAATATTATATCACGTGAAATTAATTTATATAAAAACGAATAAAATCGGATGATCCCAACAACCAACAAAAAGAATCTTCTATCTAAAAATAATTTTCCCATCTCAAATAAATGACTACCCAAACACATTTAGAGAACTTTTATTTGAAAAAAAATGACATTTCAAAATATAATATCAGCTGAAACTGATTTATATAAAAAGAACTGAAAACATATGACTGTAAAAACAAATAAAAACAATGTTTATCTAAGAATAATGTTATAATCTGAAATAAATGAGTACCGAAACATTCTTAAACAACGTTTATTTAAAAACAATTTACAATTCATAATATAATATCAGCTAAAACTATATGATTTATATAAAAAGGAATGAAAATCGATTTTTCTAAAAGCCAACAAAAACAATCTTTTATCTAAAAACAATTTTATAATCTAAAATAAATGCCTACCCAAACAGATTTCAAGAATTTTTCTTGAAAAAAACATGACAATTCAACATATAATGTCAGATGAAATTAATTTATATAAAAAGCAATGAAAACGCATGATTCTAAAAAAATCTTCTATCTAAACATAATTTTACAACCTAAAACAAATGACTTCGAAAACATATTTAAACAACTTTTATTTAAAAAATATTACAATTCAAAATATTACATCATGTGAAATTCATTTATATAAAAACGAATAAAATCGGATGATTCTAAAAACAAAGACAAAATATCTTTTATCTAAAAATAATTTTCCCATCTAAAATAAATGACTATCCAAACATATTTAGAGAATTTTTCTTTAAAAAAACATGACAATTCAAAATATAATATCAGTTGAAACTAATATATATAAAAGAGAATAAAAAGAACGATTCTAAAAACAAATAAAACGAATCTTTTCTCTAAAAATAATGTTATAATCCAAAATAAATGACTAGCGAAACATCCTGAAACAACGTTTATTTGAAACGTCTACAAGAAATAATATAATATCAGCGAAAGCTATATGATTTATATAAAAAGGAATAAAAATCGATTTTTCTAAAAACCAACAAAAAAAGAATCTTTTATCTAAAAATACTTTTATAATCTAAAATAAATGGCTACCCAAACAGATTTAAAGAATTTTTCTTGAAAAAAAAACATGACAATTCAAAATATAATATCAGATGAAATTAATCTATATAAAAGCAATGAAAACGAATGATTCTAAAAGCAAAGAAAAAATCTTCTATCTAAAGATAATTTTAGAATCTAAAACAAATGACTACAAAAACATATTTAAACAACTTTTATTTAAAAAATTTTACAATTCAAAATATTATATCACGTGAAATTAATTTATATAAAAACGAATAAAATCGGATGATCCCAACAACCAACAAAAAGAATCTTTTATCTAAAAACAATTTTATAATCTAAAATAAATGGCTGGCCAAACAGATTTAAAGACTTTTTCTTTAAAAAAACATGACAATTCAACATATAATGTCAGATGAAATTAATTTATATAAAAAGCAATGAAAACGGATGATTCTAAAAAACAAAGAAAAAATCTTCTATCTAAACATAATTTTACAATCTAAAACAAATGACTACGAAAACATATTTAAACAACTTTTATTTAAAAAATATTACAATTCAAAATATTACATCATGTGAAATTCATTTATATAAAAACGAACAAAATCGGATGATCCTAAAAACAAAAAGAAAAAATCTTTTATCTAAAAATAATTTTCCCATCTAAAATAAATGACTACCCAA